CCCCTTATCTAGGCCAGCCCGGCAGCCCCGCTCGCCGCCTTGCAGCGATAGCCGGTGGCTGTCACTCGCCTTGGGCCCCAGCCGCCCTGTGGTGGCAGCGCGAGGCCGTGGGCAGCTTAAAATGAAGCGTGAGGAAAATGGGATGTAAATGGAGCTTTTGGTAGAGATTAAAGACGCTTTGTGGATGGCAAAGGGATTTACAGGACGGGAACGATTTGAGGAGTAGAAGCGTCCCTCTGAGGCTGCGAGCTGCGGGTCTGCTCCAGTTTGACACCAGGAATTCGGGCGACTGGCACGCTGCAGAGGAGAGGAGCAGGGTCAGAGCACGCGTGCCCTGGGACCAAAGCCGGTGCGAGCCAGCAGTGCTGCTGGAAGAAGCCGCCCTGGCTGCTTCGTCCTGCTGCAAAGCTTGCTCTGCCATCCAGGGCAAGGGTATGGTCCAGGTTAAAGCTGGTCTCGGCCAGGTTAGTTCATAACCCGATAATGTTCAGGCTCACACTAACAAAGTGCCAGCGGCCGAGGGCTGGCTTTGGCCACCTTTGCACCCACCACGGTGACAGAGCCTCAGTTCAGTTGGAGGCTTGTCTGGGGTGTTGGAAGCGCAAGGAGCTCAGCTACAACGCTGCAGGCTGAACCTGTTTGCTGCTCAACTTGGGGCCCTGACCAGCAATGCTGCTTCTGGAGTTTTAAGTGTGAATTCGTTTGGAGCTTGTGCTGCGAAGATGGCACGGCAGCCCTGAAACTCTGCTGCCAGTAAGGCACAGTGGTTTTAAAATGATTCTCTAAAAGTTGGCTGATCTGAGCAAGAGAGGTAAAATGGGAGCGCTGTGAAGGAGGAATTTGGAGAGCATCGTGAGCCTTCTGGCCAAGGCTGATTTTTTTGCATCTTGCTGTGAAGAAGGCATGGGGTAAAAGCAAGTTTTGGAAGTGGCCTGTGAGTGCTGGGGCTTGAGCACTTCACTGCGCTTTGGGGGGGGGAAGGGGGTGCCAGGTATGTTTACCCTCCAGGTGTTGGGGGGGAGCAGTTTTGTGCTGGTGCCTCATGGTCCTGATGCAACAGGGGGGTTGCTTTTTTATGCCGAGTTACTGGGTAGCGATGGTTTCTGTTTATGTAGTCTGTGCTGGGCAAAATATTAGATGCCATCAGTCGTCCTGCGCTACGAGCCTGAGGTTGAGCTCATCTGCGTAGAGACCTGCCTAGGCAGATGCGTTACCTCTGTGTGGAGACCGCCACAGGGACACAAATCCTCTGGAGGCAGGTTTTCCAGCACCCCGGTGGCATGGGGGAAAAAGTTGAAGGGGACAAAACCAGATGACCTTGTTTGGTCTCTTGTTAGCGAAGCCTGAAGCGTGACTCTGAAAGCTTTTTGATGCCTTGTGCGTGAATTGTTTTGATGCAACCTCGTGGTTCAACCCCCTAATGCTTCTTAGTGGAGAAGGTGGACCTTGGTTGGAGCCGCAGGGTGTGGGGTGGTGCAGCGGTCGCGTGTTGCATGGCTCGCGCTCAAAGGGTGAAGTCCTGATCACCGTGAGGGATCCTCACCTTGTGCCCTCGCAAAAGTTACTTGGCTTTAAGATGTTGCATGTCCCTTGATGTGAGTAAGGAGGACCTTGAGATGCTGCCTTCTGTGTGCCGGTCACTCTGCCTGATGCCAGCTTCACAGGCTCGAGGTGAGATGTAGCCGGGTGTGATGACAGCTGCTGGGTGTCTCTGTTGGCAGGTGAAGGAGCTGGTTCTTGATAACTGCCGTTCGGACGATGGGAAGATCGTTGGTCTCTCTTCAGATTTTGAGAACCTGGAGTTCCTCAGCATGATCAACATCAACTTGCTGTCCGTCTCCAATCTCCCCAAACTCAACAAACTTCGGAAGGTGAGTCAGACCTGTGGTCCCATCTCCAGCAGTCCGTGCTCCGAGACTTCTGCTGCCCTGTCCCTGGTGACAGTTGTTTTTCCTGCACTTGCCAGAAAAGGATCGTTTGATTTTTTTACTTTCTCCTCTGCAGCCTACAACCTGGGCAAGCAAGAGAGGTGGTTTTTTAGTATGGAGCAAAACGCTTTTGAGCTGGTTATGTGTTTAGTGCCCTTTCTCTCTCCCTTTTGTTGTTGTGCTACTGCCAGAAGCTTGATAAATATTTTGGATTTTAGAACATGCGGTTACAGCAAAGAGGACGCGTACTCCTGTGTCCTGAAGTACAGGAGTGCTGCGTTACTGCGGGGAAAAGGGTTTCAGTGAAACCTTGAACTGCTGCTCTATGGCATGGTCTAACAAACAGGGGCTGGAACTTGGGTGCCCATCGTAGTCCGGTTCTCAGGGTAATTTTATTCCCCATGTTGCAAGCTGAGACACTTTGTGACCATGTGCTATTCCCTTCTGGCAGCTGGAGCTGAGTGATAACAGGATTTCTGGTGGCCTTGAAGTTCTAGCAGAGAGGACTCCTAACCTGACACACTTGAATCTAAGCGGCAACAAGATCAAAGAAATCAATACCCTGGAGCCCTTGGTGAGTGGAAGGCTGTTCTGGAATCGAAGGGATGACGTTGTTTCCTTTGGGGGGCATGTCTGTGCAGCAGAAGTCCAACGTCTTGGTAACTGTTCCAACAGCACTTCGTGGTTCTGATGGGAACAGATGAGTGGGTCCAATTTGAGGCTGGGCTAATAGTTAATGGCTCCTCTGTCTGGAAAACCAGCAGCCAGTTGCTAAAAGAAGCATGAAATTGGGCTGGATGAGTAAAACTGTGGATGCAGTGCTCAGTGTCCCATCTGAGAAAGGACCGTTAATGGGTCGGATGCAGTTTGAGGTAGGTGGCACCTGGGGTGTCATGGAGATGAGTTGCTTGGACACCGGTGAGGGTGTCCATCGCATCAGTCCAAAGGTGCTGTTGTGCTGGGCTGGGACCCTCTGGCCCTGGGTGCTGTCGCAGCATGCATTGCAGGGGGTTCCCATTGCATCTGCACTGCCCCAAAGAAGGCTCTTGTGATCCTGACTGTAGCTGAAAGGTCCGATCTGGGGCATTTGCCTCATCATCTGTTACCTTTGGTCCCTCCATCCCCTCCAGAAAGAGTTTGAAACTGTTTTACTCCTCCTTCGCTTGACCTGGTGCACGGTGCGATGGCCTGACCGGGAGAGCTGCTGTGCTGAAGGGCACGTGGGGCGCAGGCTGCAGGCCCTGTGCTTTGGTCTCCCTCTGTTGTGCTCTCGGGGATTTTGCCTGATGTTTTGGGCAGGTTGGGTCTGGCTCAGTGATTCTTCCTGCTGGGGGAGCTGGGCTTTCTGTGTGTGTTGCCCCCCCCATTCAGAAGGGAGTAAGGTTTGCCAATGGTGTCACGGGGAGCTGGCTCCAAGGAGGGGAAACTAGGACAGAGGAGCTGAAAAGAAGCCTTCTTTGCCTACAGTTAGCAAGAGCAGTAATCTCTCCATCCGAGGAGCACATGGTGCAAATAATGCATGCAAAGACACTTCTGTACTAGACCTGGGTAGCAAACCTGATGGCTGCCTGATCTTCAAACAGTGTCAACTTGTAAATAATGGTAACGAATTGATCTTTGCAGAAAAAGTTGCCAAACCTGCATAGTCTGGACCTCTTCAACTGTGAGGTGACGATGCTCATCAACTACCGGGAGAGCGTGTTCACCCTTCTGCCCCAGCTCACCTACCTAGATGGATTCGATGCTGATGACCAGGAAGCCCCTGACTCAGACCCTGAAGCAGATGGGGATGGACTGGAAGATGAGTATGAGAATGGGGAAGGTGAGGATTTTCTCCTCTTGGCTTTCTTGCTGGGCAACAACCCCTTTCCCCCTTCTGCATGGATCATGTTGTTAAATAAATGGTGATTATAACTTGCCACTGAAGTAGGGGCTGCCTGGGTAACCCCGCTCCCTCCTTTGCCAGGCTGGGTAAGGAATAGTGGTGGGATGGCAGGGTTAGGTTAACGGATGGACTTGGTGATCTTAAAGGGCTTTTCCAACCTAAACAATTCTATGATTCCATGAATTGCTGCGAGCTGGCGGGCCTTGTCACTGGCGCTCCTTGTGCATGCTTGTTCTGCGTGATCCCCTGCCCGTTGCTCACGTAGCACCAGGGTTGGAAGCACAAGCGTATTGTCTGGGAGTAGCAAGTATCTGGGAACCGTAACGCTTACCTCCCTCTCCTTTTGGTAGAAGGTGAGGAAGAGGATGATGATGAGGAGGAAGATGATTTGGACGAAGAAGTCATTGATGATGAAGAAGATGAAGATGATGATCTGGAAGGTGAAGAGGAGGAGGATGGAGTAGATGATGAGGTGAGGCTTTCTGTCACTGCTATAAATCTGCAGCACCACGTTGCTGTTCGGTAGTGCATTTGTCCCTTCCTCTGGTGGCCCCTCTGACCAGGTGTCACAGACACCCCGCTGGGCAGGTCCGAGGAGTGCTGCCACGCGCGCTGGCTCTTCACGTACACCTTCTGACTTGGGGTCCACCGAGTTTGCCGGTTCAGACTTGTTTATTGCTTGGCCTGGTACTTCCTGTGGCCTCAAGTGCTAAAGCCGCCTTCGCAGGATTGCAAGAAGCTGTTTAGGAACTGACAGCTTCTCCCTGCTCGGCTCCTACCTGCCACCCTGAGACTTGAGTAGGGCGGGAGCGGAGGTGAAGGAAGATGTTGTGGTGGAATGACACCTTGCTCGTGGGATTGTGGTTCTTGCAACAAAGCGTCTTGTTTTGACTCCAGGAGGAAGATGAGGAGGAAGACGGTGAGGATGATGAAGAAGATGAAGCTGATGATGGTGAGTCAAATCGTAACAAAGTGCTTGCAAAGCTGCCTCAACAGCCTCGCACCTTCACTGTTTAGGTAGAGCTTCCCAAGGTTCAGTGCAGCGCTGTTGTAGCCTGCAGCTTCTCCCCGGTGGGAAGTGTGGTGTTCCTGCTTACGGGCACCGCTGGAGCTGTTGCTGTACGCCTAAGCTGCCTGCT